ATATTTGAATAGTTTCTGAATTCAAAAATAACTGGCTGTTGGTTTGGAGTTTACAATGCGAATGTGTGTGTGTGTGTGTGTGTGTGTGTGTGTGTGTGCGTGTGCGTGCGTGCGTGCGTGCGTGCGTGTGTGTGTGTATTCATCGTGCCTCTGCTAATCATCTCCATGGACCAAGTGCCATTATGTTTATTGTTGCTAATATCGGCATGACTCGTTCGTAGCAGAGCCGGTCTAAAATAGCAGCAGCAACACAACTATAAAACCCCTCTTAATACTCACCCCACACACCCTAGCTGACCAGTTGGCAGTTCAGACGAGCTGCACTCTTTCCATGAGGGATTAGAATCTAACAAAGGAAAAGTTCTGAACAAGTCAAACGTCAAAGGGAAGATCTTCCAGAGGTTAACAGAAAAGTAGCAATAACAAGTGAGTAAAAGAAAGGTTTGTTGCTGTTGAACTATTCAAACATTTGGATTCCTTTATTTCTCACAATAATGTTTTTAATACTTTGTATTTACCCTAAACCATTGAAATGCAACAAAATGCATTTTGTGTGATTTGACATAAAACATAATGAGTATTAAATTAGATTAGAGAACAATATGATTTTTAGCCCCAAGGTACATTTTCTTTCAGCACAAAACACCAGAAAACAAGAGAAAAACTATTTAAAAGTTGACAATCATACCAAATAAGGATGTAAGCAAACTGCATGGAGTCATTTATTAATAAGCACTAACTTTGCAAAAACTAATGTTGCAACATTATACCCAGTTAAGCTGAACAGTGGTATGTTAATCATACATAACCTTTGAGCTAGAGTTCCATATTTTTCTGTTCTCAGTTATTTGTATATTCATTTGTGTGTAAAATAAAAGTATGGATGTCTGGATGTGAAAAGAACTTCAAATGTTGCTATATCCTTCATTTAGAAGCAATACACATGGTGCAAATTTCTGCCTATACATTTAATCTGATCTCTTTTATCCAGACGGTAATCCAGAAAGGATTGGAGGTGGGTTTGGTTGGAGGCAGCAGGGATGTGCAGTGCGGCTGGTGCAGGTAGAGCGGAGCTGGAGTGCAGCGTCCTGGAAGAGGACTGGCAGAGAGGACAGAGATACATGGCTCACTGGCACAGCTTCACCATCGTGCCACAGCATCAGCAGAGGTTACTGACAATCTTCTCCACATCAACAGTTTCACACAGTTTAACTGGCATGTTTGTGACTATAATAAACTAACATGCTGTGAAAGAAATATAGATTTTATAAACAAAATCTCTTCCAGGCCAATTGTGATGGAGGCAGAACGCTCAGAAAAACACGGGGAGGCCAAGAGGCTCCTCCAGCGGTTCCTTTCTGGTGCCATGGGGCCGAAGTTGCAACAAGCTCATGTCATGTGCAAGCAAAGGAGCAAAGAGCTCTGCTTGAGAGGCAAATGAGAGGAAGACTGTTGGAAAGATGAAAACATGTTCAATATTTTAACAAAGTATTATAGTATACTACTGTATTATTGTTTTCAGTTTGAATAATTACTATGTATGCAATACAAGATTCTTGTTGTAGTATAATTTGTTTTGTTGGCTGAATTATGTCATTTAAAAATAATCAAAATGTTTATGTAATATGTTACATTTTTTAGTGATGTGAAAGGAAATTCGTTTTTACTGTTACACAGAGATTTCACTTTATAAGGACAGTAGAATTTCCTTATATTTATGTCAAGATTAGCATAAGCATAGATTTTGTTATAGCAATGTGTACAGTTGAAGAAATTACGAGATTAAAAATAAATCTTCCATGTATTTAATATGGACTCGAATGGACTTTTCTGTTAATCTCAACATTAATGAATACATTTGAGGATTTCAACAGCTAAGTACTTCATATATTAGTTAGGCGAAAATATATAATATGCGTACGTTTTTAAATGTAGGCTGCTTCATTATTTCTTTATGCAAATAGAAATTATCCCAGGATTTATAATCAAATTCCTGTCCAAAAACATAAACACTGACTGTTTGCAGACACAGAGGTGTGGCCAGGGAGATTTTAGCATTCTTTGCATTTGCATTCCCCTGGAAAGGAAAACTCTCGACCCCCTTTACCCAGTCTGACTCTAGTTGTAATCTCCAAATATTCTAATTAAAAATAGATCCCCGTGCAGAAATCCACATCCAAAATATCTCATCTCCCTTTGACATTGTAATATTTTGGTTGTCTGAAGAGGGTCAGGGTGTGTGTGTCTTTGTTTATGTGTGTGTGTGCATTCTTGATTCTGGTTCAGCTGCCAGGGATGAGCGAGGTGTTAAGAGACTCCTGGGCAGAATACGTTTTATTTCTACATGGCTCCATTCCACATTGGTTCAGCTGCTGCTACGGGATATGCTAGGAATAGACGGAAAATTAATTCAATCAGGGGATGAAGCTCACTGTTGAGTCAGCTGGCCACTGTGGCTAGTGGTTTAAAAATTCACCAAGTAATTTGAATTGAGTGATACAAATAAATTGTCCCATTCCCTGTTACAGAAAAAAACATAATACTGAACATCTACTGTGAAGTAAGAAGATTTTCTATAAACCTAAACTTTAAATGTATCTCCATAATGTACATATGTACTTACAAAATAAATAAATGCTGACCAATTAAATACATGTTAAATCCCCAAAAAGTTCTGCAACTCTGTTTGTCAAGGTTTTCTATAACAAATGTATTTTTAAGTTTGCATTTTACTCAAACATGTATTTTGTGTCCTTCCTCTAACAAATTGCTACTTGTTGATTTTCTTAGTGAAACCTTTTTTATTTTGGAATATATTGACACAAAATAATAACAGCTTCCACAACAACCTCTCATTTTGAAATCATCTACTTTCGCCTGTCAACATGAGACTGTTCCTCTCCTTTGCTCCTACTATGCTCACCATTCCCCATCTCTCTGCCACTCTGTAATGAACATCATCAAAGTCAAATGGCCAAAAGGACATGGAGACAGATCTGTTTGTGTCTTTCAAACAGGGTTGCCTGAGATGAAACTGGTCTATCTTTTGCACGTTAAAGTCCCTTTAGAGTGATTGTGGAGATATGGCGGGCCTCTGAAAGGTGGGTGGAAGACCTGGAAGCCATGTGAGGAGTCCATTAGTGGCTCTATTGTTGGAGGAAGCCCCCCTGGTCTGATGGTATCAGCGCCTCAGGGCGGGGAACTTGAACAAAACAAATGCTATCAGGCAGCAACACGGGCCCAAAAACAGGATCTCTATCTCTGCCCATGATACTCAGAGTAGCCCAAAGCATTGACACACATCAAATGACACAGAGAACAACCACAAACACAGAATATATAAGGAGGCTGAATGTGGTAGAGGTGCACCTAAAGGCTGATCACTAAACGGACGTGATAGAGTCACAAAGGAAACACAAGGATGGAAGGAAAGGGAAAAGTGAATGGAGTAGCAGCCATGGCAGCCTGCTACCAGGGATTTGATCCTGCTGCGTATCTGCAGTATAACTACACTCCACCACGGGCTGATTTTGAGAGAAAGGATAGCATTGTGCCGTGGAAACTGGCATGCCTGCACAGAGCCTTCACTGAAGGTAAGGAGACGGGGTGATGGGGAATGTGAAATATCGAAACACACAAAATGGAGATCAACATATTGGCTGATTTAAAAATGCTATGATAAATGTAAGCTACTGGTGTATTTTAAAAGAGGTGTACTAATAAAACAATACAAATAAAATATGTTAAGTTTTACAACAATACCTTCTGTATAAATAAATACATATTTTATAGGTTACTTAACACATGTTCGAGATGCTGACCTTTTTTGAGTACAAACAATTTCGTTCAACTGAAATCTAAAAACACAGTATTCTGTCTGTGAAAATGCTTTCCAAACTTTTCCAGATAAAATCTGGCACATAATTGTTGATTTGAGTGCTTGGAGTAATTTCTAAATAAGAGACTGTAATCAAGTATTTTTTTTAGTAAAGAAATCACGATCAGTTTCCCTCTTTTAAATATCTAGGTGATGTGAGAGGTGAGCTGCTGGTGGACATAGGTTCAGGTCCCACTCTGTACCAGGTGCTGAGCGGCTGTGAGGTTTTCAACAAGGTGCTCCTCACAGACTTCCTGGAGGTCAACAGGCAGGAGCTGAGGGGCTGGTTAGAGGACGAGGGAGGCTGCAACCTGGACTGGACGCCCTACCTGCAGCACGTCTGTAAACTGGAGGGACGAAGGTACAACCAAACACCTTTTCACCCTGTTCGAAGGCTCAAGGTTTCTTGGAATATCTCTCACCAAGAAATATAGTTTTTAGACTAGTTTGATCATCAGGCAAGGACTTAAGTGTACAGTCCTTGAGAGAGAGAAAAAGTTATCTTTATTGGGAAAAATTAATAATGAGAATCAATGGATTTTTTTTACAAAGATTAATAGCATTATTGTTTTATTCAATTTGTATTTCCTTGTGCCAAAGATGAATCAGTCTACTTCCTCAGGGTCACAAGATTTGTTTTCAATAAGCAATAATTCATCTGTATACTCTGACTATATACGGTATCAATACTACAAGTCAAACATACAGCTGAGAGTGAGGAGAATATCCTTTGTGTAGGATATACAATGGGATTTTACCTGGTTAAATAAAGGCTACAAACAAACAAACCTGTTGATAATGCTTGATGAAAGGTCAGGGGATTACCAAACAGATTATAATTCATCCTGATGGAGACATGAATGTGTGCACCAGATTCAATGGCCATCCATTCAATAATTCTATTTCACCACACGGTGGCACTGTGGAAAACATATGTTGTCCCCTCAAAGTCTGTAGGATTCATGATTTAGGAACTATGAACATTTTGTACACAATCATCACGTAGATATTTAACCAGAAAAGTAAATGGTTTGAATTTTAGTTGCCATTCGATGAAAAGTCAAGAGAAAATGGATAGGGTTCATCCTCCAGGGACCGTGAATGTCCAATGTACAAAATTACCTGTCAAATGTTCAGTTCAGCAGAATGAGTTGTTAGGAATGATGCTACATAAATGCTGTATTGCACATCTGCATTTACAATAGCTGTTTTTATCTAATCATTGATATTGTCTCTATAGGCCCTCAGCCTGGACGGAGAAGGCTGCTAAGCTACGTCAGGTCATTACCGACATCGTCCCAGTTGACGTGCACCGCCCTCAGCCTCTGGCCCTCTACGCCCTCCCTTCAGAAGGGGCCGACTGTCTGGTGTCCTGCTTCTGTCTGGAGAGCGTCAGCCCCGACCTGGCTGCATTCACCCGGGCCCTGGGCCACATCGGGAGGCTCCTCCGCACCGGGGGTCATCTCCTGCTCATCGGTGCCCTGGGAGAGAGTTACTATTTTGGGGGGCCTGGGGTGAGGATCCCTGTGGTCCCACTGAACGAGGCCCAGGTCTGTGCCAGTTTGAAGGAGAGCGGCTACACCCTGATCAGGCTGGAGGTCTACACACTGCCTCAGGACATGAGGGTGGGAGTGGATGACGTGTCTGGGGTGTTTTTTGTAAAGGCAATCAAGGAGTAAAAGTAAGAGAAATGAAAATGGATAAACAGTAGTAAAAGTGAGAGGAAGAATCCAGATAAAATATTATAGATTAAACCTGTAAATGTATAATTTAGCACAGCAGATTATTTAAATAAAAATGGGGATATCAGTGATGCTATTAATAATACAAACACATATTTTAACTTTGGTATGGGGTGAGGGAAAAACATTCAAAGACAACAACATGTGAATGAATAATTTTGATTCCTTCTATTTTATTTCATTGATCCATAAAACGTCTTTTCTGAGGGTGAATAAGCAGGAGACATTCCCTTTGGTTGCTCCCAGATAGAAATGTAATTACACATTGCCTCCTGCAGTTCAAACACAGCAACTACAGCATTGAGAATAATATGCGTAAATCTTGTTTTAAACAAATCACCTGTTGACATAACATAGCATTTTCCACGCTGTTTATAAACTGTATATTTTGATATACTTCTATCTTGATATACTTCTATTTCGAACTATTAATGAATTGCCTGTCATGTTTGTAATTTGTGATATGTGAATAAAGACTCTAAAGCAGTTCTTATTTCATGATGTTTTCTTATCTCAGACTGACAGCATTATATTAATGTAAACTTTAAGTCAGCAGCCCGATGTTTTAATCTTAATATTTGCTATGGTGTCAACTTTAATTGTTAAATCATGTGATCAAAATGATCAAATTTAGATCTTCACCCCAGAATATAATTTTGAAATTATAAGAAGTTAACATGAGTTGTTTCTGATATATCAGCAATACACCAACAATGTGTTATGTTTCACAGATTTTTCTCATAAAAAAGGAAAATAAATGTGTGAATAATGATAATAAACTGTCTATTTCCCTCCAAAGGGAAAACGGTAATCTTGGTTAAGAACTTAGAATTGTCTCATTGACTCTATTTGGTTACTGAAAAGCCAAAAAAGGCCTTTTGTCTTTCTTTTTTTAGAAAATAAATATGATTGTACATTCATACAGAATCCTTTTAAACACCCATTGTAATTTATTGATTAGCAACAAACACAAACACAATTTATTTACAAGATCAGAATTAACCTTCATGCTCATCAGAGTTTCTGAAAAAATAGGTTTAATTTTGGTTCCCGCCAATCATCTCTGACATCCCAAACGGATCATGCCTCCTAATCTCTGTGTTACAAAAAGCCTGTTCATAATATCAAAGCGGAAAAACTGCGCTGCATTATAATGATTAGTTGGATTAGTCGGATATGATTTAGTCTGGTCTGCT